CAGTGGGGCGATCACCATGAGAACTGCTGCATGTGCGTTGAGTGAAACACTTTAACCTCCAGACCCAGAAGATTCTGTGTGACTTGAGGATACATCAACAAGATCCTGATCTACTTGAACAAGGAGATGGATGCTGTTTGGAACCTGAACACCATTGTCGACCGTAAGCGCTGGGGTGTGGGTCACTCGGATGAACGTTGCCGCCCGGACCTCTTTCGTCGCGTCGGTTTCGTCAGGACCGACGCGTCCGATGAGCGATTGCATCAGTCCGGGGTGAAGGGAAACATGAAACATCCTTTTGCTACTGGCAACAAGAAGCTGCTAGGAACAAGTGCCACGCTAGTAGTAACAAGTGCCTTACTAGTAGTAACAAGAAGCTACTAGGAACAAGAATTTAACGAATCGAAACATCAAACATCAAACACCCTCGATATCCCTCGATCAAAATGGTCATTGTTCCAAAAACATCCTGCGACGATCAGTATCCACATCCTTTCCCAGCTCTTCTTTTGGCCCAACTCTTCTCGGGGTGCGGAGAAATTCCGCTTTTGATCTCGACCCTCTCTGAGGCAACACCATCACCTCTTCGCCCTATGGTCCTCATGGCGAGCACCCTGAGCGCTGGCGCGCCAATGGCACCTTCCCCTTCCCGGAGAAGGCACCAAGCAGCCTGGCAGGAGACGGAGCCGATGGATCCGACGTGGATCCGACGACTCTGGCTTCGGCCAACTGTGGCGCAAGGGAAGAAGACCCTTTCGGTTCCAAAGCAGAAAGCTATCCGCGCCTTCTCCACCATGGCGGTTTGGGGTTCACCATCCATGTTTTTCTGGTTCTTCGGGGGGGGTGATCCTGTGATCCGGTGTTTGCCCAAAAGCGTGAGTGAACCGAGTTGCTTTCGGTGCGCTTTCCGATGCTTCGTCGCGGCCCGAGTTGGTTCGGTCCACCGATGCGCAACGGGGATCCAGCGGCCCTTACCCCTTCGTGGGTTCAGTAGGGCCAGGGGTAAGCGGAGCTGGGTTTAGTTGTGGTCCACGTTGGTGGTCCAAAGACCTTAAGCTCGCAAGCAGGCGAGCTTCGCCCAGCGCAGAAGCGTAGCGACTGAGGCAACCCAGTGCTGGATCTGAACAACACCCTGACCATGCACCTGAAGGCTGAGGATCGCAAGTATGACAACAAGTATGCGCAGCAGCTGCAGGCTGACTATCAGTCCTTGACACTTGGAGATGGTTTGGCGACACCTATTCAAAGTCTAACAGTGGGAATTGGTGCCCATCCACTCCTGCCCCGCACACCCACGTAGGATTGCCTTGGGATTGCCTGAAGGGCTTCGGGCTTGTGTATGCATAAGGATTTCACCACGTAGCTTGTACTGTACACATCTGTCTGGACGTAGGAAGTGACATCTGAGCTGAGCAAATGAATCTAAAGACTCTTAGAGTCTTGCAATGATGAGTCGTGCGCCGTTCTCCTCCTGAGTAGTTCAAAACTATTGGCAAATCAATGACCAAAGCTCCAAAGAGAACAATCTGAGGATCGACAACATCAATGACGCCAGCAAGAAGTGCAACGACCTTCGTGCTCGCCTTTTCAAGATGGACTACTATGCGAACAAGTTTATTGTACTCCCCAGCGGAGTCTGGAACAAGATCGATGCCCAAGCATGAGCGGACAGGGTCCGACATGACCGTCAGCTCGCAGCATGCAAACTCGACACTTTTGAGAGTGTCTTGGCTTGAAACAGATGTTTCTCGAAAGCTCTTCTCACTTTCTGTGCAAGGCTTGGTGAGATGAACTAAGGTACGACTTTCCGTCAGAGTTGTCATAGAAACTGAGAGTGAATCTGACTCTAGCTAGCCAAGCAGGGCGCTGCTCCCAATGCTGTATTACAAATCTCACTGTGGGCAGCCAGAAACGTATACTGCTTTGTCAAAAGGGCGCAGGGCTGGACGCGAGCAACCGTTGGGCCCATTTCAGCTGGCTGACCGTTTGGTTGAGACATCTGCTGACCGTCTACTTGTAGCTATATATTTTTTGTGCTTGATGAACTAAACCACTTGTCACTTGTCGCTTGTATATGTTTGTAACACGGACAACTCGGAAAGGCATGTGAAGCTGATCGTTGAAAAAGGCGATGTTGAGATTCTTTCCTGGTCAGCAAGCGTCCAGGGATTGTAAAAGATTTTCTTTGCAAACAAGAAACACATGCTGAACTTAAATCCGAAATCCAAGTCTTGAGACATATGGAGACAACTATAACTCTGACAGATGTTTGGGGGCTAAGACAGCAAGCAGAACGCGCACGACTATACACCATTCCTTTTCTAACATTTATGAAACAATTCTTTATTGCTTTTGTATCGTATTTGATGGCTTTCCCCTTTTTGCCTATTTATTGTGTATTAGTTGCATGCTTCCCATGACCAGTAATATCTAATAGTCAATGTGTCATCTTTTTGAGAAAGGCCTTTACTAACCATAATCATCCACTGCTACAGGGAATGGGATACATACTTAAAAATAACAATAACACAATCCCAACGATACAAAACTGTAAGAACAATAACACATATTTTTGTTTCTTGTATGTTTATAGCTTTTCTTCTCCTTCTGTCTCTCTCTCTCTCTCTTTCTCGACAGTCTAGAGGCTCCATACTTTATTGGTATACCTGAAACCATTTTGTTTGCACGCGTTTCCACAAAAATTGACATCAACAAAGCAGAAAGCTTGAAGAGTTTGTATGTCTCAATTGCAAAGAACCTTTGAAATGGCCTCCGGCTAAGCACTGAGGTTGGCGTACTATGGTGGTTAGGTCACACAATTTCTGTAAGGTGTGTTTGCAGTTCGAGAACCGAGTGAGTGGTGGCTTTACATGATTCTGCGTCTGATTTCTCACATTCACCTGCGCGGACATTTTGGCCTTGAGATCCTGAGAACACCTTTTTGTCTCGATCCTGTCAACCCAAAACTCCGCATAACCATGCGCGTGCTGGCCTTCCTGTCATTCTTGGTGACCGTGAGGGGGAACGAGGTGGATTCCGCCCTGCAGAGCGATGACCAGTGTGTCTCCGCTGAATGCAGCTTCAACGCCTTGCAGCTTCGAGGTTTGAAGGAGGAGATGGAGCTTGAGAAGGAGATGGACGAAGCAGAGAGTGAGAGTGGCTGGTTGAAGGACATCAGCACCAAAACCAAGAACCACTTCAAGCACATCCTTGCGCCTCTCCAGAAGCCGATTGTGACCAACTATCAGTATTTGACCGTTCTTGATTCTTATGTGAACTACACCATGCAGAAGGTCGAGAATGCCACAGGTCACTTGGTGGTTTGGAATCGCAAGTCCTTGTTGCAAACCGACGACGCTTGCATCAAACTTGGCGCGGTGTTCCCCCCCACAATTGAAGCAGTTTCGACGAAAGGTTCTGTGCCAACGAGAGGTTCTGCACCACGTTTGTGCCTTACCCTCTATGATTATCAGATGAACTAATAGGGTTGACTGCCTTGGGGCTTGGACCCAGAGCCAGAAGCATCTGAAACACCAAGGACGAAGAAGAGGAGGTTGAAGAGGAGGCAGGTGCCGCTACTTGGAGCCGCCGCCGTCATGTCAGCAACTCCGAAGACTTGCCTCCACGTGCACGCGACTTGGTCTGCAGGTGAGAACTACCCAGGAACTCCCAGCCCAGTGGGGCGATCACCATGAGAACTGCTGCATGTGCGTTGAGTGAAA